ACTACGGGCATCGCGTACGGCATCGTCGTGATCTGTACTTGCTGCAGCGAACCAAAACAATACGTCGGTCTCCACGCTGTCATACATTGCTTGTCAGTTCACCAGGACGCGCGCAAATTCGGTAGTGAAAGATTCAGCAAAATATTGTGTCCGAATCAAAGTGACGGGTACGTTTTTTTCGTGACTCTTTATCAAATAAAACTTCAACTTGGTCCTTTTGATACGGACATAGTTAACATACAAACTTTTTGTATGTTAATTGTGGCGGACGTCCTGCGTGATATGTCAACATATATCTTTTCTAAACCGGCCTTATCTGCTGCAGATATGACACGTAAATACGCTATGTTTGGTAGGCGTCCAATATCAAGACGCGTAAAAGCTATCCCTAGTCGAGCTACAAGAGGCTAACGACGAAGTATATCACCGCACGATCCCTAGCATTCAGTACCAAAGCCATCTCTGTTTAAGCCAACGTTTAGAAAAAGCAGGCAAAAACATAGGACCAAAGATAAACCAAAGCTACAGAATTGCCCCGAGACCTACTTCATCCTCTTTCTGCCGTGGTAACACTATGCACGCGAACGACGGAACGGTAGTGGATGACTTCTGGATGGGGTGACCAAAAGCAGTTGGGTATGTACCATCCTACCGTTGGTGCTATCTTCCCATTCCTTGGCGCCTTTGAGACGACAGCACTAGATCTAGCTTTCAAACCACAAGAGAACCACGCTAGCATTTGCTGATGATCCGATGCGTTGCGTCTCGGGGACAGCAATCCCTTTGCCAAGAGAATTTGCCGTCGTTCAACCACCGAGTCCAAGCTGGTAGTCTAGAGTGTCACGATACGTCGAATGTTCGCACCACCACCTGAGCCAAACACGCTTCCTGCTGATGAAGAAGCCCTGCATAGAGTCGTTGTTACAGCTAGCTAAACGCCAAACAAAGCGAATTGACGTACTCCTCCTGTATAAACGCCTGCTAGTTGCTGAAGGGCAGCCGCATCCAACGTCCAACATTGAGTCCTAAATTTTAGGAATTGATGTGCCATCTTCACGCCCAAGCTTACCGCTTCGGCAGCGATTCCAAAAATCTCCCCTGAAACGAAGAAGGGATCGCGCACGCTCTTTTTTGGTGGAATTTGAATGGCTTACAGCTGAGCCTCGATTATACGCCTCGCCACCGACAAGGATAGCGCCAGGCGCAGTGAGGTGACATTTCATACTTGAAGACGCAAGTTCGCCAGTATCGTGGGCTGGAGCAGCGTTGAAATCTCTTCGGCGCATGCGCAAGTTTGGGAGGCTTGCACACCACATTATGCGGTACCCCATTAAAGTCGGGAGCGAACCTGACCGCCGGCGCCGCGCCTTCACCAGCTCTCCTAAGCTTCTTCCGCCATCGCCCATCGACGTAGCTATCATAACGACCGCACACAAGTAAAACACAGCCGTGAAAGTAACAAAAAAGAATATGTGCCGGGTCGTTCGGCAGCAAATGTTGCTTCCTTCTGTCTGAGAGATCGTCACCAGTAAACACACATCACCGCCACCAGTAGTTCCGTTGTAACGGAAAGAAAGGAGTACGATGCACTGTCAAGGAATAGTATAGTAATAATCTCGAACTGTTTGTAGGATTAAAGAGCAAAAATAAACTAAAACGCCTAAGTATTTGCAAATAGCATGAGACGGGAAGTCTTATAATAATTATTAAACTAGAGAGACTTCAACTTTACCCATGGTTTGTAAATGTATTGCGAAATGCCGTTGTCCAGCTTATTGAGTGCGGTAGTTGACTTTGTTACCCTAGCTTGGCTTCACTCCTCTAGGTTGTGGGCTCGATTTTGATACTGACACCTAATTAGCGATTTCCGTCGTATAATGTACGGTTTTCTGAGGTGATTTCATAATAAACCAAATGCTTGCTTTCTCGGCCCACCGGTCGTTTAGAGCCGATTGATGCACGAATTCTTTCACTATTTCTTTTTTT